TTATGAAAAAGATCATGTTTGGGGAAGGGGTACTGCAGAGCAACATTCTGGACCAGAATTCCGACCAAGTGTTTTTTTCTTTGTGAGTCGATTCAATATGTATTTACAAAAATTGGGTCTGACAGGGCAAAGAGCAGTACCTGGTATTGTGATAAAGCTCGGTGAGGTAGTCGCGAGTCCTTTGCCAGCAACCACCTTCACCCTCCTCTCCTCGATGGCTACTGCGAGTCATCAGTGATGTTTGTGATTGAGGCTACAAAGTATCAGTTATTGAATTATCAGTTATTTGTATGACCTTTTACGTGGATTATTATAAATAATCGTAAGAAATCATATAAATAACATAAATAAATAGTAACCTAAATAAGTGGGTAAATAGAGGAAAGGGGTACAGGTACTATCGTTTTGAGCCAGAAGTTAAGCTGATTTCTTAGAGTATTGTCAGAAAACTAAGTGTTTTCATCTTCTGGCTGGAATACCCTGTATCATGACCGGATTCAGGATTTTAGGATTCGGAAACATTCAGGAATATAGGTTTTTTTGGTATCAGGTTATGTTCCTGAATTTTCTCTTCGTGTTTCACTAGGCAGTTATAGTAGTTACTTAGTTTTGTGGCTAACCTACTTCATAACTTTTAGAAAGGTATCCAGGCGGATCTGACAATCTCAGAGTTCTCTCTGATTTTAGTTTACTCGGTGTACTTTTCCTCTAACCAGGTTTTTGGGGATAACTGCATTGATAACTAGTAAAAGCGTACCGCATAGGACTTGGAGTTCTCCATGGATCCGATCAACTCGTCGGATTGTTGCATTTTTCTGTAACTGTCCTTCCGGACAAATGCTCTGAAAAACATCAATCAATATAACCAAAATCGGGTCCAATTAAGCAAAAAGGCTTTGAGTAGGATGGCTCCAGAGTGGTCACATAAATCAGTCACTGATGTCAGCACCTACCATGAACGACTAGTCGAATATTATTAAATATTTTCGTGGAATAATATCGAAATACCTTTTTTCTAGAGTCGACATCACGTGAAAATGAAGGGATGTTTGGAAAAAGACGGATTTCACTGGTAGACGTGCGACCTTCAGTGTATTTGCATAGAATCGCTCCATTTCCCCAAATGCAAAGGCTCTAGCTTGCCTACGTTGCGCCTTTCCCTCCTATCCCAATTTCCAGTTGCTTTACACTTTATATCAAGTATTACTACTGCAATAGATGTGGTACAGGTACAAGGGGGTTTCCCGGGAACAAAAACTCTCTTTCTCGTGTTCAAAGTCGTTTCGCTCTGAAGGGCCATCGGTTGTTAGTTATAGATTCGAGCTCACCATGCCGAAGACTTCTGCCACCATGATTGCAAAAGTAATTTGCGAGCTAACTGATACCTCTTCACAACAGTTTTTTTTGTTTTTGGTTGTTCCATATAGAAATCTCAATAATTGTTTACTCACTCTTGATCGCTCTGTATTTGTCTCCACGAGTCTGTCCTTGCTATCGGTGGAGACGGCACGGTGAACACTTGGCTTTGAGAGGACGTCCGGAGGGCAGATGGGGCCCTGGAACAGACCACAGATCCACTCAGATCTCCTATAGTCTGAGTTTGACATCAGAATCAAATTTTATATCTGTTCTATAGGATTTTACAGGAGCAAGCCGGAAAAGACTGGCTGAGCCGAAACAATTGGGCTACTTGGGTGGTAAGTCAACAGGAGCCACTTTTAGAAGGCATTTTTTGCAAGCTGCTGGTATGCCTCGTTCCTGCAGCTTACCTTGCCACTTTTTCAACCGAGAATTCTTTGAACAGGCTCCTCTTTCCCTAGCCTCCACCGAAGGCTTGATTTATTATGTTCGTCGGGGCTTCGTCAGTTGAGACCCCTCCAGTGTGGTCACGTGAACTTACTTCAGAACTCCAGTATAAGGAACTTCTGCACGGTAGCCATTCGTTCGAACAATCCCAGGTCTCTCGACGACTTCTTCAACCCTCGTACTTTCCATCCTAGACGTTTCCACAAGCGGTCCAGTGCCATGCGTTTCAACAACTCGAGCACCGCCTTCTGAATGAACTCTTTTATATGATAGTAGTTAAAAAATTGTCAATGGCTGGAAGAAATCGATTTTTGGGGGACTTCCTCTGTAAAAGGGATGATTGAACTACTATAGATTCGCTTTATTCATTCGCGAAGGTCCATTCTAATCCTTTAGGAGACTATTTACGATCGGTTACACCTTATGCTGAACTAGGAGCGATTGTGGAGCAGCAGTAGAAGGCGCCACAGTTCAGTCGACTGTACACTTCCCTGCCCAGTTCAATCACTAAAGCCTTCCATCACAATGAGGTTGGCTAGACTATGCCGGACTTGTCTAAAAAACCAAATCGCCCAAACTAAATGTCGGCCTCCCTTTACTCATTGTATAGGCCCAATACCCGTTCAAATACCCATGCTATTCAGCAGATCGTAAGTCTGCATAAATAAGCAAACAAGAAAAAAAATTAAAAAATCAGTTTTAATTGTTTATTTATATCACCATAACATCATTAAAAGTCTACTTCCTGAACAGGTATCATAGAGTATTATGAAGAATTACCGATCTACAATTTCGTCCGAATTTCTGATACCAACCTGATGTATGCACTTCGTGCACGTCATATCCATAGTTATTGACGGCTGAGCTTCCAGAGACGTCAGCGAATTCGACTCGCTGACCAGAGGTGTTCAGCCGACTGCCAGATGTGTCAAGACGACTTACGGGTACTTCGATATGTTGGCCGAAATCTGGTAACAGAATTGGGATCGTTTAAGGAATCACTCAAGTCGTTTTGGAGTCGTTATCGTTCTTTGCTAATTCACTAGACGGAAAACTGGTGAAATCGATCCTTTTTCGGATGCGCCATTCAACTTTACTCCAATCTGAAGTGGCGTTCGATTGATAGGTCTCCGTAATACCTTCGGGGTGCCCAAATAAATTAGAAGAAGTATCTAGTAAAGAGTAAAGACCTCGTTCATTCTGCGAATGTTTTATTGCTTCTCGATCGTATTTCTGTAGCTACTGCTTTGTAATTAATTTATTTTTACAATTTCCGCAACCCAAACAAATCTAGCATCAGGTAACCATCCCCTAGTGGATGGAAGGCTCTATATTCCTAGGCTTGTGTCAAGCTGTCGTCCGTTATTTTGAAATCCTATTAAACCAATTGGTTTTCTCTGTATTTTTGCTTAGCATATCGATTGAAGTCAGCTTTATAAAGTTACCATCCCAAACCACAAAGTTTTACCCCAAGGGATGGAGGGCTTGGTTGATCTGGCCATGTGTCGATCCAAAATTTGACCTTCTGTACATTCCTGTATCGTGGCTGTGCCACTTGGCACCGCTACATCCCCACCCATTCCTATTGCTCCATTTGATTATTCAATTTTATTCGATTTTATTTATTTTTGTCATTTTGTCTCTGAACATTTCGAAGGTACTGGGTATGGGCTTTTTCAGTATGGATGAATTCTGGATACAATATTTTTTACGACTCTGAGAAACTCACTGGCTGATGTATGCAGGAACGACGGTTCACGGCTCACATCCCGCTCTCCAGTGAACTCGTACCTAAACTGGATCTGTTGGTAAGCATAACTTGGTTCGTTGTACTGGTACAATCACCTCCGTTCAAGTGGAACATCTCTGGTTGTTGTGAAGGTTTGTTGTGGTTGTTGTGTAGTACGTGTAGTGTGTGTAGTACTAGTGCTGTACGATGGCAATGAAGCTGAAATCAAACAACTTTTAGAGAAAACTTTGGAAGACCGTGAAATAACGAGCCTCCGGATCCGATTGGCCGTCGTCCTTCTTCAATAATTTGATGCTCGATCACTTCGATCTGTTCGATCGAACGTGGACGTCGATCCATTTATGGAAACAACTGTAAGGCAGCGATGAAATCTTACCCGTCCACTATCTGAAACTCAAAAAAATAGCCAGGTAAGACTTGAAACGTTGTCTAGAAGCACACGTATATATACATGAGCTTATGAGAGGAATCAAAGTTCGAAAAAGTCACAGAGCGAAAGAAATATACTGAGCTTTTTCAAATGAGTTCTCGTAAAACCAGTAGGAATGAATTGGAGAATCAATTTTTTCGCCATTTCTTGACGGAATTTTTTTTTGAAACATG